AAAGTCATGCCTACCAGTTTCATCTAATAACGAGCATGATATTGGAAGTGTTTCATTATGAAGTGTTCTTGAAAGAAACTCGATATATCTCCATTCTCGTTAACTTCTGTTTTGCAATCCAAAGAAAAAAATAGCAATGAATTAATGAATTGAATAAACAAATACTATTAAATATAATTCTACCTTCGTTTGGAACAAACAAGCTGAAACTTGACATTCCTAGACATTCGATATGAATTTTAATTAATATGAAGCATCAATGTGATTTATACGTATTTAGAAATAAAAAATACCTGTCTTAGTTGGAATGGATATTGATTTTAAAGTAAACATTCGACTGGTGTAAACTGCGTTTGAGTGAATTTGTTTTTCGTTCGTATTTGCAGGAATGCTCTTCGTCTCATTATCAAGTTTATCTAATTTCTGCTTTTCTAGTTTGAGACACTTATTTATCTTAGGATATTCTAAAGAGCTGTAGTACTGAAAATGCAAAATATTCAAGTTTGTCGCAGCTCCATATTTGATGGAGTCGATAAAGTCTGAAAGTTCCTCAACAGTTGGTCTGTTTTCTGGAATAGGATCCCAACATTCTTTAATAATAAACTTGAATAATTTAGGAATATCACTTTGTATCGTTGGTCGTACTCCATTATAGATGTCTAACACGAGATTTCTATCGTGACTCCGCTCACCGAATGGTCGTTCACCTGTGACAATCTCGTACGTAATCATCCCAAAACTATAAATATCTGCAGCTTTGGTGTATGGCTTTCCATTTAGTACCTCTGGACTCATATAAGGAAGTACGCCGCAAATTTTTTGATCAGATTTTTCTATATCTGCTGGTTTAGTAAGTCCAAAATCAGCAATTCGAGGATTGTTATCGAATAATAATATATTTCCAGGGTGAAAGTCACGATGCACAAATTCCAGTTTGTGAATTACACTTAGCCCACTGATAATATTAATTAAACAACTTAATTTATCTTTCCAACTCAAGTATTTGGAATTCATATGCAGATATCTGCGTAGATCGCCATTTTCTGTATAATCCAGCACTATCGAGTATTCATTTGTAGCCGAGTTTTTAGTTATTCCATAACAGTTAATATAGCCACTGTGTCCGCACTTTAGAGCAGTTAGAATCTATTTTGAAAAAGTTAATTATATTAAAAAACAAAAAAAAGCAATCTGCTTACACGTAAAAGGTGCTTATTTTACCTCGTTTATAAACTCGAATGTAATTTGCTTTGAAGTGTGTAATGATTTCAACACAACTTCGCGTTGATATTCACGTCGTTTAAATATATTTTCTTTATGATCCCACTTGCAAGTGATATTTATTGGTCCGTCCAACCAGGTTGCTTTATGAATTGATCCAAAACCTCCTTTTGCAAAATATTCAACATTGGTAAATCTTTCAAAAGGGATCCATTCAAAAACATCGACTTCGGCAATTTTGTTGCATTCTTTTATTAGACTGTCGATGATTGTATTTCCGCTTTCAGCTTTATAAATTCGTTGGTGATATAGAGTACATCTATAACAGTACCCATTGTTTTGACATTTGGTGCATTTACTACAATGATGAGGATTCGAAGTTTTTGATGCCATCTTTGATTATGACAGTGGTGTTTTGTTTAAAAAAACAGTGTGAGAAAGTTGTCGTTCACTTCCGTTTATATCTATTTATGCATAAAGAATACATGTACTACGTACGCCCACAACATGATAAACAAACGAACGAGCCAAAATTATTATTTCACTCAATAATGGATATACAAGAGATAGCTAGAGCGCGAAATATTGGTTTTTCCACGGTTTCTCGTATATACAAAAGATGGCGTGAAAAAAATACTTTCCAAAATGCAAGCAAATCCGGTCGTCCACGTAGATTAAATGAGCGACAAAAAAGATTAGTTGTTCAGCTCATTACTTCACGTGATTGTTCCACTGCTGTTCAAGTTCAAAAACGTTTACTCGAAGCTGAAAATCTTGAAATCTTGGAGCATACTATTTGTCATACACTGCGAACTAACGATTGGTAGCAAGAATCAAAAGAAAAAAGCCATACCTAAAGACAGAACACATGAAACGTCAACTTGAATTCGCTAAAAAATACGAAAATTGGATCTTTGAAGATTGGTCAAAGGTAATATGGTCTGATGAATCAAAGTTCAAGGTTTTTGGGTCAGATGGGTGCGAATATTACTGGAAAAGATCGGATGAACCATTGAAAAGTTCACCTATTAAGCCTACAGTTAAATTCGGTGGTGGGAGTGGTGATATGGGGTTGCTTTAATTTTCATGGTGTTGGCAACTTTTGCAAAATTGATGGAACAATGAATGTGAGTATACCATTAATTCTTACAGAAGACCTTATGAATACTTTTGAACAACATGATTTCGCTATCAATTATGTGATATTTCACCTCACCAAGATAACGACCCAAAACATACGCCAATGATACGAAAAAGTGGTTTGTCGATAATGATGTGTCAGTTTTGATTGGCCGCTCCAATCCCCGGAGCTCAATCCAATTGAACACTTGTGGAATGAGATCGATCGTCATCTTCGGAGTCTTCCCGTGCCAATTTCACCTTTGGGTAATTTTCTATCATTTCGTATACCCGCCCTGAGCTTTTATATTTGTTCTGGCATAGAATGAATCAAATTAGTACAATAATCAACATCAACCTCCTCCCAAACCTGTTGTATCTTTTATTTATGTGTTTTGTAAATCGCATTCGAAAGGAGCGAATAAATCTTGCATTTGTAAATAACTAGGATTAAGTCTGGAGCTATGTTTTATTGATTTACATGTGGACAAACGGAAATATCGCATGATTATAAGTCGTAATATCCTTCGCTACGCTGTGGACAATTATATCGAAAGTTTAAACTCTACAATTGTTGGTTTGTATGTTCCAAACGATTTCATGACGAAACACTTACAGCTAAACAAGACAATATCAAAGGAAGAAGAAAACAATAACTACTTTATTTTCTACTTTATTAAATTAACAAGAAGTTGTTGTTTAAAAACGAGATCATGATTCTGAAGTTAGTCAATGAATTGAATTGTAAGAATCTCTATCGCTATTTAGCAAATGAAGTTACATTCGAAATTTGATTACCGAGTTATTTAAAAATTATAACCGATATTACCAAATATGGAGTTCAAATTTCTTATGCTTCATAATAAGTTGGGAACTGAAAAGATGTGACTATATTGATTTTGTGATTATATGCGAGGTAACTGGACGTTACCTTACGCAAATCTCCTGGTTCTTTTGGAATTCAAAACATTCTAATACAAAATGGAGGAAAACATGTCAGCATCAATCATACAGATTGTATTTTGTAGTGAAAGATTTTATAAAGCACTATGAATAACTCACCCGTCTGCATTTACCGTTACATGCACACGCATTGTAAAATCTTAACGTTAATATCCAAAATAAACTTTGTAATAGTCTAGAAATAAATGTAACGGTAACCTGCCTTACCATTTGGAATTGAAATTAATTTCTTGGTAAATGTTCGACTGGTGTAAATCGCATTGGGTTGCCATCTAACTCTGCTTTTCTATTTTAAAATACCTAAGAATATCTTTACGTGCTTTAGAGTTGTAATAGTGAAAGTGCAAAGTATTCGGATCCCATTCCCCGTCGACATTGTCGATATAGTGGATAGAGCCAATAAAGTTCCGAAGTTCCTTATATTGGGCTGTTTTCTGGATAATAAATTTGCAGCATCCGGGAATTTGGTATCGTAGGTCATAATCTGTTATATACATGTAGATGTCTAATACGAGATCTCTATTATGGCTTTGTTCACCGAATGGCAGATTGCCGGTAACAATCTCGAACATAAATCATAGCGTTAGTGCATGGTTTTCATTTAATACCTCCGGATAAAAATATAAAGAAGTATTCTTGATTGGAGTCTGCTGTGCAAATCGGCAATGAAAGCATTAACTTTGAGCATTGCGACTTTCATCCTGCAAATATATTAATAAAGTTCCTTTTGTAAATTCTACTCAGCCCCCGAAGTAATATAATATGGATATTCAATTTTTGATCCCAAGTCAATTGTTCGTTGTTGGAATAAACTACTATCGAGTATTTTATTTGTAGCTGGGTTTTAGTTAGTCATAATAATTTATTCTAAAGGAGCTTTAAAGTAGTCTGAATTTAGTTTTGAAAAGATTAATCGTATTAGAAACAAAAAAGCGATTTGTTTACACTTTAGAAAAATGTTCATTTTTACCTCGTTTATAATTTGCTTTGAAGCACGTAATAATTTCAACACAATAACTCGGTATCCATCATCCCTTTTAAATTTATTGTCTTCATCTCACTTGTAATAGTGCAACGATGCATTATAAATTGTTCCAAATCCTCTTTTTTGCAAGATATTCAACATTGATAGATTTTTCATTTGGCTTTATAAATTGAAGGTGATGTTATTTTTTTGACAGAGGACATGAGCCTTGTGAACTGAACAGTACTCATAGCCTTGACAAACGTCACATTACAACGATCATGCATGAGTATTGAACACGCTATGCAGTAATTCTGTTTTCGACAATACCACAGCCATGAGTATTAGCTCCATCTTTGAGTTCACTTTTTAGTGATGGTAAAATATTAATCGTCATCATTATTGACAAAACGTTTTACAGCATTTATTTAAAACCCTTAATAGTCATTTGGGTAAAATTCACTGTGTGAGAGCATATCGTAGAACACTGGATACTAAGCAAAGCGTGCAATTTTTATTTTATGTCATATAAAATGTGTTAAATTTTGAAAGACTACGTACCTCTCTATGGATGATCTAACAACGTACGTATTTAAAATTAAAATTTCATTTTGATCAACTTGTGTAATGTTAAATTACTTTTTACACTACAATCATCACCAACCCCAAACAACAAAAACAACAAAGGATAATGATAATCCAAATGCCTAAACAACAAAACCAACAAAAAATAATGTCGAAGCCAAAACCTCGCGAGTTAAAGGTAGTTAGACTGTACCGTCTTTATATTCGTGTGACCAAATGACCTGAATATTTTTTATTTTTTCCAACTTCCAGCTAAGAAAAGCATCACAACCTGGGTTTTGACGATATTTTCTCCAGGTACAAAGTATGTGAGAATTCGATCGACTGCCGCAGCTTCGTCTCCAAGAAACTTGCTGTAGGAGCAATGCAAAGAGAAGCGCGACGCCTATACAAAAATTCAGACTTGATCCAAGAATCTAGAAGCAAATACTTTGAAGAAAGCTCGATGGAGATACACTTTGGAGAACGCCCGAACTCAGATGATTATAGGAGAGAGTTCGGTTTCTGTAAAATTGAACCCACCAAACTGGAAGACGAAGAAAGCGGAGATGACGTGCCATCAAGTACAGATAACGAGAGCGAAGATGAATATTGAAGAATATAATAAGGCACGAACATCATTTTCCAATTCACAGTCTTATGCCACAGCCACATTTGTTAATCATAGATTTGGCTTTCTTTTTAATGTAGATACATACAAATGTGTGCAGTTTATCTTGATTTTCTTTTAATTCTTCATAATAAAGATTCTTTGGGAATGACAGAGAATCTTATATTTTTATACGACAAAGATAATAACAAAATACTAAAAAAATCCTGTAATGACCTTCGAATGAAGTGGTTGAATTTTTATAAAAATAAAAACCGTCTACGATCATCACGTGTCATCAATCGAATCTCGAAGCCCTAATGTTCTATGCTTATTTACTTGCAGATACAGATCCACCAGACTTGTAAATTTTTTTGATTATTACATTGATATCAATTCTATTTATTTCTTTGCCAATTACCTTTCAGGCAATCAAATAATTCTTTCAAATGGTCCTAGTGAATTTCGTTAACAATAAATTCGGTTTCGTATGAATGATTAGAAAGTCGACCTTTAATAAAAAAAAATTATTTGACAGTCCAGGAGTGAGTGGAATACATTAGATTTTCAGCTGCATGTTATTTTATCTTGTGCTCATTGCTGAAACACCTAAAACGGACGTCTAGCCACAGCCATGACACGGGCTAAGAAGGTTGACGTAAATCTTTGAGTTAATTTCGGATACAGAAACACCAATTGAGAAGTAAAAGTAGGTGTTATCATTCTTTTGTGGGAAATGTTTGACGTTTCTCACCTTTTTATGAATTTTTAAAACAATGACAAAAAAGATTGAAGGGCAATAGCAACGATAAATCCATTTAAGGTGATGGCTATAATTTACCTGTCGAATTACTTACAAAAAATGCAAGCTTTTCAGCTAACACGTTTCATTACTCCTTTTTTACGGATTTGATGTGCTTTATATGTAAAAAATTTTGAAGGATCTTGAGAATTTTCTTGATCCGTAAAAGAAAGTCTGTCAGAAAGAGTATCTATACGAAGAGGAATATAATTAATGGTCTTGTAATATACTGTAGATATATTCATTTAGTTCGATAAAATTTTTTGGATTATAGCTCAAAATATTTTAATTTCCTGGACGAATGTTCAGATTTACATTTCAGTTCTTGTTTCCGTTCATATTATAATAAAATCGATTTTCTAACTGAAAATGAGATCAGAACTGGCGTGTATGTTGTAAAACGAGCTAATTAAATAGTTATCACAGTCCGATCGCAAAAAATATTGTTTTCTTTCGCCGAGTAACATCAAGCAATAAATAGATTTTTTTGTTGTTGTTTCTTTGAATATTGGAAAATTGAGAATATTTTATTTTCGACATACATGTATAAAATAAGTACTCTAATGATTCTTGTCCTTTGAGAGACGACATTTTTGGAAATCAGATCTTGATTTTTTGAATAAATCATGGGAATAAAATCAGCCGTAAAAGAATGAGCTCAGGAAACCTGAGACAAAAAAGTTAAACAGCTTATTGCTAATAAACTGAACAATTGGAAGCGTCGGTGTCCAGCAATTCACTACTTATTCTAACAAAGTTAAAGAAACAGCTAAATCTCTACATATCGATATATAATTCTTCATAAATTATTAAAAAAATCCAGCGGTTTTTTAAAACCTGTTTTCGTTTTAGTCCCCCGATTCACTACTCCATCTGCACATAGCTTCGATTTTTTCAATACAGTTTGACCCTAATAATAACAATAATACCATTGTCCCATACCAGATCTAACTGTTTGTTGATTTAGAATAATCAAAGTGTGTGAGAAGTTTCAATCATTCCCATAAGGTTCAGAAGCTTCAACTTAACAAACAACATACGATTAGAAAAGTACATATAAATCATCATCATCAAATATCAAAAGAACTTGTCGTTATGTGACAGATATCGATATTCTTGAGTGAAGAAACTATACATTAAAACATTTAATAAATATTACTTCATAGATTCTTCGTAATTCTTAATATAATTGAACTAAATCTTTACCATTAATTCTGACAACTCAAGTTTTTTGTTCCCTAAAAATATATTTATTTACTGTAACGATAACGATTAGTCGATAACCCAGAATCAGTTATTGTTATCATTATACAGTGGCGTTCAAAAGTACTGCATGACGAAAATTTTTACGAAAAAATTCTAGCGCCTCTTAATGCCCCTGGTTTCTAAATCAGAGCGTTGACTACGTATCGAGATATAAGCTTCCACGTTACACATGTAAAAAATTTCACTAATTAAAAAAATGCATATCTCTTAATTTCCCTAAAATGGGAATAAAAATATTATATATAAAAATTCGCTAGGTTATTAGCTTTTAAAACGAGTATAGAAACCATGGACATTAAGTCGATATTAGAGACGCTAGAATTTTTTTCATGAAACTTTTCGTGATGCAATATTTTTGAGCGTCACTGTACAAAAGTGAATATGACAAAATTTTGTCAATTCAACTTAGCATTACGATCTAAATTTAAATTTGACTGTCAAACAAGAGACATTAATCAATCTTAAACTTAACGGTAACGTTGTTACGTATTTGCAACACTCACTCTCAGTAGTAAACAATTTAAAATGAGGTCTAACTTATTATTGAATTCACACTCTAATAAATTGGCAAATTTTTATGAAAATGCCAAGTATTGTGACATTTCAATCATTGCTGGAAACATTTGTCAATATTGATGGTGCAGTCGAAGTACTGTTACCGAAGTAGCATTAAATTTTGATTCTCAATATCTACATGAAAATACCTCCAAATTTAAAAGAATGACGGAATGGTAATTCGATATAAATAAATAAATAAAAAAAAAAGGTAACGGTAATATCTATTCCTAACGCTAACTGAATTTGGTTTATAATATAACGTATATGACGATCATTGAGAGGGTAACAATCGGGAGTGTCAAACGATAGTTAATACACGTAACGGTAACGATTATCGAGAGGATAATCCTGACAATCATCTGGACAATTGAAGAGCATCGACGAAATGTACGTAATGATAGTAAAAAAGGGGATAACAATCGTCTGGACAATGAAAGACAATCGAACAATTAGTGTTTAGTCGTGTCAAAAGAAACCATCAATGTAAATTACTAAACTTTAGTGGATGCTCCTCCTGCCACGTTTATGAATATATCGATCATTGTTGAATAAACAAGAGTTTATTATAACAATTTGACTCTTATTACAAGAGTAATTATCTTATATCTACTCTTTCAAACACACCCCCCTTCCTCTATTTGTTGAGAAAAGGTCGATTTGTGAACAATCGCCACGGAAAACCTTTAGAACAACCGGAGAGACCCTCTAACCGTAAACAATTCAACCTAACTATCAACCCGTTGCAGAAAGTTCCTTTAACTGATTGATTATTGTAATAAGTACAATAATCTGGTACCCCCAACCGTCACAGAATAAACCCGTTTGATTATATTGGAAGGAACGCAACAATATAAATCAATCAATTAATCAAGCTTCATTTCTTTCTCTAATGTGTTCAATGACAAAGTCATGTCCATTCATCAAATATACGTGAATTTGAAAGGTAAAATTACAGTTTTTATCAGAATTGAATTCATTATAATGATTCAAAAAGTACAATCCAGGTGGATAGTAAAACAAATGGTGTTTTCTACTTTACTTCTTAATCTAATATTCCAATTTAATCTTTCAAGTTTTAAATTAAAATTATGAAACTAAAGCACATTGAAAGAAGAGTGTAATTTTAATGAATTTAAATAATTTAACTATCTATTTCTGGATGAAAACAAGTTCATAGCAAGATTATGTAAACATGAGTCACGACGAATGGACTGAATAAGGTATTGATATTAAAAGTGAATAGAAAAATTAAATTTCACAAAATAGTGTTGATATTTAACGAGCAAGCAAAAAACCAACTTTGTATTATTAGCATACAAATTATCGAGACTATCTGTAACATTTCAAGTTTATCAAATATAAATGAAATTCTTTCGCTATCATTTCAATTGGCTTTTTCACTTAAACTAAGAATTCTCAAATCAGATCCAGTTGCAACCAAACACACTTTTACTTGATAATTCTTTATTATCATTCAGATAAAGAAAATAATTATTTCCGAACGATCTTTAAATGAATAGCTCTGACCAGTGTTGGACTATGTCCAATAGAAATTCAATTTGGTTTAAATTAGTGCCACAGCTGTCAGGTTATTTAGTTCTATTAGGATATCATCGAGATTTGCCATTTTGTGTCCTTGTTTTGTTTCTTATTCAGGTTTAATTTCATCTTTGGATATTACCATTATTTGCAAGTGTTCTTCGGATCATATTTTGAGACAATTCTTTGGATAATCTCATGATTTTGATTCCAAGGTAATAAATTTCTTAGGAATTCATAGAGAAATGAAAAACTCCATAGAGGGAACATCAAAGATATTAAGAGAATTAAAGCTCTGTTCGGATTGGATTGGGTTTGAGGTCAACCCGATACGATAAATTCGGATCGGTTCGGGTTCGATCCGAAAATCGTAAAATAGCTTTTCGTTAATAACTTTTATTTTTACTTAAGTGGAATGTACTTGTACATATATCAACAATTTTCGTTCAATTTGAATTAATATTGAACGAGAAATAACGATCTTTAGTCTGATCCGAAATATTTCGGGTCGGGTTTGACACCAACACGATCCGACCCGGAGTGTGCAGGTCGGATCAGATCACGGATTTGGCCCGACCCGATTGGAGCACTAAAGAGAATTATGTGATTTATCTAACAAAGAGGAAATTTTTCTATAAATGGCAATTTTGGAAAAGTAAGAGGCTTAATTGATAATTAATATTGTCTGTGCCAATATTGGATTTTGGTGAGTTTATTTAAAAAGGTTGTTTCTTTTAATAATATCTAAATCTAATTAGATTTTCTATTATTTATAATACACGTCTTTACCAAGGTCAATTACTGTCATCAATCTTCCTAACAACGTCTTTTTCTGGATCAA